CGCACGTACGGCTACTGGTCGGTAGATGGCGCTAGCAGACTTGATTTCGGTATTTTGGCACGGTAGGTATAAAGTGAGTTAAAGATTCAAATATTTGCATATATACCACTTGTTTGAATAAAAATTAACGATATATCGTTTAAAAGTTTTCTTACTGACTTCATCGTATGGTAAAAGTAAAAGTTGAATAAAAGCTATATAAAGTTTGTCATTTAAATTCATTATTTAAAATTCCTTTTAAACTTTTGTTATATGTACATTTGTATGTAGAATGTTATATATATTAAAGCATTATAAATAAAAAAATACCTTTGTTATATTACTGCTCCGTCAGTGTAATCTTTTTTACAAAATTGTTACATTTACGTATAAGCAATGTAAATGTAAAACCTAATGAGAAATTAATATTCTAGGTTTATACTTCCTACAGTTTGTTTAATTCTGATTAAATTTCTGTGCGCAGTTTTACCTACCTACATTGCATGTGTAATTAAAACTACGTAGTCCCAGCGAATACCATCGAAATACTAATAAATAATATTTTATTTACCCCGTTTCCACGAGACCTGGTTTACTAACGTTTAATTCAGTATCAAAGGCTAATTCTCGAAAGAAATAAAAGCAATAAGAATATAGCGCATAAATAACAAAATCAGTTCGCGAACGAATCACGAATCGAATAAAATATAGTAATAAAAAATAGAATGTTAGCCATTACAACGCTCATTAAATTTTTACTTCGCTTACACGACTGTCCTAATTCGTAAGTTACTGCATAGGCCCAGCGTCGCCGCGTCCGTAGCTCAATGAGGAAACGGATCGCCTAACATTACCTTATCGATGTATTCTTATTAAGTATTGTTCTCTACCTAAAATTAATAAACATTTTTTACTGAGATATAAGCCTAGGATATATGTCTAGGACAATTATTAACATCAAATTCATCCATGTAAATAGTAAATTAATTCACCGTTCTCCATCTTCGGCTGACAAAATTGAGAAATAGTACGTTGAGTGAACAGAAAGACTTATACATTTTTTTTTATTTTCACTGTATTGACGTTCATAGAGAGCTTAGTTACCATGAATAATACATTTTTGATTTTGATTCTACGGTAAACCGTCCGTTACAACGCGATAGCTTACCAACTAGGTCCGCAATACTAAATCTTACGCACACCGACGTCAATAAAACTGGCCATCAAGCTGTTAAAGCTTAAAGCTGACGAGGCGGGGCTGGACGGTCCCGCCTTCGATATCTGACTGACGTGCGCTTACAATTACTGCATTGTTTTTGCTTATAACGGGTTAAATTGATAATGGCTAATTCATTTATTAAGGTCCCACCTCTGGGCATCTTCTAAGGTCCATCTCCTCTCCCTAGGAAATAGTTGGCATGAAACTCACCATGTTACGATGCGGGTTGGTGAACTTAACGAATAATAAAATAGTGTTAATAAAATTGTAATGATCGGGACCGACGGCCTAACGAACGCCACGCTATAATGCTGTCCCAGTATGAATAATTGTTTTGTACTAGCTCGGAAATGTTCTAACAGACATTAAAACCCCGGGTTGGACACCGGGACCTCATGTTGTACCTGACTAAGTATACAGACCATGAGGTTTCTTATTATGTATAGGGAGAACCAACACGCCTGACAAACGTCGTTTGATTTGAGTGTGTCATTAGGTCCTACTAGTTAGGTCTTACAAATAAAAAAAGCAGTAAACAAAATTAAGATACGGGTGGAACTCGAACAGGCATCAGCGTTCCGTGTTTTAACCAATTAAGCTACCGTGCCATCATCGTCGAATTTTTCAAACAATTGATATTCTACACCTCTCGCACAATGTAATTTTTAGATAAATTATTGTGTTATTAGTCATTAAATTTGTCTTAGGATTTTATTAATTATATTTGTAGACACTTATTAAAGGAAAGTTAATTTAGAAATTCGAAGTTGGTTTGTTTATTTAATTGTAATGGAGACAATAGGTTTCTTTTTACGTAACGGGAATTTCGCAGAGCACGAACAAATCCGCTATAATCCTTTCTATGGTAATAGGCTTAAAGTATTTTCTATTTAAACAACTTATTACTAAATTATAACTCATGGTAACTTACGACACATATTTTATTATTTTTGTTGATTTTACAAAATATATATTTTTTTATAATATGTTCTTATCGAGAAACAAAAACAAACAACTGTTCATCTATTTTATGTGAAGTTTTGGACTTTTTGGAAATTTAATTGTACCTTAAATAATTATATTATATGCATGTGAAAACTAACATCAATTATAAAACTAAGAATAAAAATTCTGCCGCGGGCATGGCCGTAAACTTTCTTAGAAATAAGGAAACTAAAAAGCTATTTCGGCGATAGGTATGTTTTGCCTTTCCTTAAAACTTTAATAATAAAGAAATTAAACCCCGATTACGATAATACTTGAAAAAATTTTAAAAGGACCCCCTTTCCCAAGGTTTTAACCAAAATTTTTTCCCTTTTTTCAAACGGGGGGGGGGGGGTTTTTTTTTTTTTGCTGCCTTGGGTGGGTTTTCCCCCCCCCTTTTGGGGGGGAAAAAAGGGGGGGGGGGGGGGTTTTAAAATTTAAAAAATCGTTTTATACTAGAAAATATTTGAATATCTAAAATCAAAAGTCAACAGCACATCTTGTTTAGATACATATTGTACCTATGTTATGGTTATTTCACGAACAATAGAGTAAACCCCATGATTATTAACATATAATAAGGTACTTATTATCTGGAGATTTGTAGGAATACGCGCTTGAATTTTACACTCTCATAAGAGATTACTAATGTACTAAAAACTATCGCTGATAGTAAGAAAACGCCTAACAGCTTGTAAATAAACACTTTCCATTCATTTTTAATTCATACTCGTATTTTATTTCATATAAATAAAAATATTTTTAATTACAATTTTATGCATATTACGTGGTGCTCAATTTAAAATGGTTTTATGTTTTAATGCGAAAGGAGATATCAAATTACATTAGGTAATTTTAACTATGCCCCGTTGTGTTATTCAATATTTATAAGATAAATAAAAATTATCTAATATTAAAGGTAGTGCTGATAATATTAAATAAAGAGCAAGTATGTATCTATAACATTGTCTGTTTGTGTATAGTTTTAGTTTATCGCAGGATATTGGAAAACATTAATAGCTAGAATACGAATGTTTTAAACGAAAAATGGTAGCTATTAACATTCAACTAAGGTTGAAGTTTTTATAAGATAATGTTTCCGTAGTGCGTAAAAATACAGTTACTAACACGAAAAATTAAGACTTTAAAAAATTTTCACATTGGTAGGGAACACGTATATAAATAAAACACTTTAACGGTTTAAAACGCGAAATATTAGTTAAACTTATTTGAAAATGATTTTTAACTTCGGCCCGACGTTTCGGATGCTTTGCAGCAGTCTCCCCGTGCCCACGGCTGGCTTAGGTTTATTTCAAATATTAAAAAATCAAAATACACCCACTTATGTTAAAATATCTATAATATGTTAAGAGTAACATTATAACTAGTATCGACCTTTAACAGTGTAAAGATAATACCAACCAACATTATTTATACTATTACAACAATAACGAAATAATTATGTTGTTTACACGACGGCATACATCTATAATAAGATAACGATTAAAAAAACTAATACAGTTTTATTTTGAACGTGCGAAGAATTTAATCTTTTTCACATATTATCGCATCATAGTAGGTATATGAATTAAAATTCACACGGTAGCTCAATTAGTTTGCACCACGGACGAAGTATTGTGGATGCCGGTTCAATTCCTGCCATTGTCGTAATTTTTTTAAAATTTATAATCGACTTTTAATTATTATATTTGGTTTTTAAAGCGTTATAGTGTTTTATTTAAACAACTGGCGAAGAAAAAAATTAAATCTAATTGTAAACGTACATAAGCATTTTTCACCATCAATCTCTTTTGTAAATATTTTTTTCTAAATATGTTTTAATATAATGGGCTTTAGGCATAGTACAAACGTTCTGCGAGAATATAGCCATAGAGAAAGTTATACATATTATATAGAGCAGTTATAATGGACTTATAAATTTATTTAACTATTTTAATGTCCATGAAAATAAAAATGATAATAAAAACGAGTTCATTTACCCTTTAATTAGATTTAGCGTCAATTTAAACGAATTTTCCTACAATCATTAACAAAGCCCTCTCTGCTTCGACCAAAATTATCACTATATGAACCCATTTGAATTATCATAATAGTACTCTTTATTTACTGAAAATGTTAATTCCGACGAATTAGTCAAAATTAGCAATTTTAACTTAATTATCCGTAACAAGTAGATTAATTGTAACCGAATTTAAATAGATAATACGTTAGTCTGTAGTTACCTATCTTTAATTAAATTAGTTCTATGTTCTCTATGACAGTGTATAAGCGATATTTCGGTGGCTGAAACTTGAGTTGCAATAATATCGGAACTTTTCACATTAAGAGAGAGCGCATGCGCCGGCACACATTTAGCCAATTATCTGTAAAAAAAACATCGGGTTATCATACACGTTTCACGCGGGAGACTTAGATATTTTGATTAAGGAAAATCGGAAAACCGAAATCGGTGCGCGGAAAAAAACGTGCGTACACGAGTGTGAGCGTACAGGCAGTGGCGGGCGGGAACGCACTGTCCACGACTCCGCTAGGAAAGAACGCGCTGTAAAAATTGCGTACATCGCTACAGCACTATATTATCTACTATAAAGCGCACTAATCAACAGTTGATCAAATATGTAAATTAAAATAAAGGAGTCCCATTTAAGTGTTATTTACATGTTGTTATTTAAATTTAAACTTATAGTATAGGCGTTGTAAATGTGTAATACTACAACATGTTAGTTGCGCTTAAAAATGCAAGCGGCAATTGTCGCGCTGTATTTAGAGTACAGCAGCTATAACAGCGCTAGAGTGGTTATTTCAAGAGCGACGGAGTAGCGAGTGCAAGGTTCCATCGGATGCTCCGTCTCCGAGGGCCTCGATTGGTCCGCTCCGCACTGGGAAGAATGCCACGCCCCGGCGTCGGGCTCCGCGCCGCTGCCCCAACCAGTGTCCGACTGACAGCCGAGCGCGTCGGGCTTCCCGCATCCCGCGCATCGCTCGGCCACGCGTTTCGTACGAAAACCTGTCGCGAGTGCATTATGACACTAGTGAGCTAGCGGGCCGCTGTGACGGTGTCAAATTGTTGTGTTTGGTGTTCACGTGCTTGTGTGGTGTGTTAGCTTGGGCCCGTGATTAAAAACGTTCGTGGTGGCCAGCGGAGCCTTGCACCCGGGCTCGGGCCGAGCTTTCATGGCTCAGCCTAGGGTACGTACTCTCAACGTGCGCGTGAGTTTGGCAGCTAGGTTACACATACAGAGCTTTATCACAGCGCGTATTAAGCGGGGCTGCTCTAACAAGCGGGACGCGCAGTGAATACAAAACAACGTTTTAAATGCGTCCGACGACCGGCGACGCGTTATGGGCGATAATGAAAACGAAATGAACGCTTCATGCTCATAAAAAGCGCAGATAACATAATCACAACACAACCTGTCTCTCGGGTAATAAAAATTAAAAATGCACATAAGCGCGCGATAATGTCAGCGCTAGGTTTATGGCGCCAAACGGAACTATCCGTAGGCTCAGTTGTCTATGGTTAGACGGTGACAGTGAGATAAAATGGCATACAGCGGGGTGTCTATTGTCGATTGCTCTTATGGGGTCGGGGCGCAGGAGAATAGGCAGAGTTACAAGCGGCTTTAAACGCACGGTTGGGCACAAAAGGCCCTATCTCGGAAACCAACAATAAAATTCAATTGACAATGAAAAGAAAGTTTTTTTCGTTCGCGCCACAAAGAGCCGTAACGGGACGGCTGGGGACAAGTTTGCAAAGATTTAGGGTTGTATTGTTTTTACTCAGGTAATACACAAAATTTAATCCCTTTTCACGATCTGTTCGGAGGCATTGAAATGAAATGTAGTGTTAGTTAAATCGTAAATGAATAAATTATTATTTTTTTTGTTACAATACCCCTGAAGCGAGGAAGGTCTTTTATTTCTCTAGTCTATAGTTCTATTGGAGCTTCTTGAAGATAAATAAAAACTTTAAAATTAATTAACTAGGAAACATCTATGTAATAGAGTCACTAAAGGCATATATCACGAAATACAAGCAATGATATCAATTAAAATTAATAATTTGTTTACATAACGTGAACAATTATAAATAGTTGAACTGAATTAAATAATCGCTTGCTTTTCTTATCGAATCTTATCTACACGTTTCATAAATTAGTGTGAGATAAACGATTTGTACAGAAATATTAAAAAATAAGTACTTATGAAGTGTATCGATATCTGTATCGTATATTATCGCTAATAAACAGAAGCTAATACGATATTAAAATATTTTTACGTTCTGATAAAAGTCAATAAGCCTTGTTTATCGCGAATTGTTGTTGCCGTCGGCGAATCGCGTCTTGAAAAATGGTGTTAACGCATAAATACTGTTTTTATTTCTAAAAACAAAAATATTACTATAAAAATTGATAATATAAGCATATAATAATCCAAAATACAATTATTAAATCTTGAAATAAAAATTTAATGCATTGTAAAACTTACGACTTTAATACTAATGTAAAGATAACTAAATGTTTTAAAACAATGAACCACAGTATATTATAAAAATCATATTACTTAAAATATTTTTTACTTAGTGTGTTGGGGATATTTGTTTAATTGCTTTACAGTAAAATAAGTAGGTCTAAGTTAATGTATTAGCAAATATTTATAATAATTGGCAAACTATATTATTACATTATTTTTTATCTATCATAAGTTTTTCGAAGCGCCTTGTTTATTACAAATAATACAAATTATTTATTACTTTGAAAATCAATATATTAAAAATGACACTAACAAGAAAGTACTGGAAAATGATTATAATTGCTTTAAAAATGGCTTGAAATGTTAATTCAACTAACAATTTTACTTTATACAATTAATTGGTAGATGAAATAATCGTTTTTGTAGTTGAATGGTTAAAAGCCAATGCTGTAGCCTTTCTGAGTTTGAATCCCGGGGAAATATAATAAAAAGTTTCCGACGGACAGGGCACAGTAGTTTGATTAACTACCAAAATAGATTATAGAAATAAACAAAGAAATACTATGTTATTTCCGATAGATTGACATATTCTCAATAGGTATAAATAAAAAGATGGATGCTACAAGATTGATGTCATCTTAAATTATTAACACGTTCAATAATATTATAAATATTTATAATAATTACCCGTTAATGTAAGCACTTATGGTGCCGTTTTGACATTAATGTCATGGCTAGCATTTGACATTATAGCAGTGACCTAGGTAAACAGGATAGGTCTTTGCTTATTCACACTTTATCATGATTAGGGCTTAACATAGAACCTAATTATTAAAATCAGCGCACGTTTAAATCACACCTCCATTTTTACACATATTAAATTTAATTCGATTCGATTAAGAAACTCAAACGGTAACTCTAAAAGTCTGCCGAAAACCAAATATTAGTGTTACTTAGTAAGTTCTCTAAAGAGCTTTTTAATAAAAATATATGTTACTCAATGTTCAAAATTTGATAAACCCTTTTATATTGTGTTACACTGTACGTGTACACATTTTATATTTCATGCGATCAAGTGCTATATAAAAATATATTTGAGACAGGAATTAAAATTAACACAACCACACTTAAATCATATAGTCTGTTAAAATAATTCAAAATAATAAGACAGTAATAACTATATTCAAATGAATTATTTAAACGCGTCGAATTTGTATATTTTAACCTCTTAGAGGATCACTAATTCACGAGCCTACAATAATAAAGTTAATGAACTTATATATGATACTTATAATTACATACATTATTTAAAGTATTTTTTTATTACAGGCTTATCAAATTTTGCTCATCACGTTTAACAACGCCTTTAAGGCTGTAAAGATCTTTTAAAGCCCAAAAATACAACTTTCAATATAAAAACATAATAGATTTGAAAATAAATAAGAACCTCGAAAGTTTTTGTTAAAAAATAATTAATAAAACGAGTTAATTCGTGAATAAATGTTACCTTTATTTAGGTAAGTTTAAAGTAAGGCAAAGAAGCTCAGTTGATGAGAACAAAAAGACGGATTGTCATGGCATCGAGGCCCGGTCATGTAAGGTTTTTCAATATCTAAATAGATTTTTATTTTGAATTTGAAGTCATTTTATTTACCTCAAAATTCGCCTTAACAAAAAGCTTATTCCGTTTTAAACAACATTATTTTTCTATACCCAATAAATAATAATATATACGGAATGTTGAAATAAAACACTCTAGCATTTTAAACCGTTAAGGTGTTTTATTTAAATGCGTACTACTGTGTAAACTTTAGACAGTTTATACGGAATAGTAGAAAATAAATTCGCACAATTGATATAAAAGTAAAGGTAATTTCTTTAAAAGTAGACAAACGTAAAGTTTACGGATGATAATTATTAATTTCTACAATAAAAAACGTATTTACGTTCTGGTCATTGCCTTACTATAGTAACGAGTTAAGTTCTAACATTTTTAATTTAGTTTAATAAAGCTCGCAAAAAACATCTAGACGCCTTAATTGCTAATTTATTCCTATTTCTGTTGGTTTTAATTGTAATTTGATGAAATTTTAGGAACTTTAATTGTATGTTTACGGTGGTAAGTCGATTCTATGATTTTATATTTCCGTATATGTAAAATAATTTATAATGTAATAAGCGTTTAATATTGCCGTAGGTGTAGGCTTGCTGTCCTTCTGAGTGGTGAGAAAAAATTTATAGTAAAGGTAATTAAATGATTGGCTTTACCTATACCGTCGCTACGAAATAAAAATAGTTTTTCATTGTCAAGGTTTGGTAGGCAATCGTTTCATTAGATATCATAACTACTTATATAATTTCTTTAGATATACAATAAATGCCTCTTAAATCCTCCGTACTCGAGTTGAAAATACAGTGGAAATCATTAGTTTTGTATAAACGCAAATAATATCAAACTATTATAATTAATACAAAAGTATAAATTAAGAGATTATGAACTTAAATACTGTCTATAGTTTACGTTAGTACAATTTAAGTAGAACACTTAACGGTTTAAAACGCGATATATTAGTTAAACTAGGCAGGTTATAAAACATGGCGTTGTGACTAACAGGAGCGAAGAAACGTTATAAAACGGGGAAATTATTATTATGTTGTGGGCTTCCGATGCATACGCTGCCCAGCCTGCTGAATCTACTCACGGGGGAAACTTATGTGCGATACTATAAATGTCTATCTTTCAAGATTAACTTGCAGAACGACGGGACGACGCCCGACGGTAGCTAAAATTTAAAACCAGGTAAGTACTGTCTATAGTTTACGCGAGTAGTCACATTTAAATAAAACACTTTAATGGTTTAAAACGCGATATATTAATTAAACTTATTTGAAAATAATTGTTAATTCGGCCCGATGTCCAGCTAGCACGAAACGTCGAGGTTTTAAAAACGCGGCCGAAGTCACTCGCACAGCTAATCTTAGATAAATTGAAAAGGAGTTCGAAGTGAGTTAATTTTAGTATATTCCTAATCAACCTCCATTGTTAATGAGAACATTGATTTGGTGAGTTCTGTTACTCGTATGTCAATTAAGAATCTATGACGCACTCAGGTTAAACATTGTTTTAATAAAAAGGGGAACAAAATTGCTGTAATTATATTTGTATAGTTGTAATACAAAGTGTATCATAAACTTTTATGGCTGATACACTATCAATTTGTCCACTAATATTTGATAATTCGGCGACGGCCCGAATATATCGGCGATAGGTTATCTTGTTATTATCCCAACGTGGAGAGAGGGATTACGCTTTTAGTTTTGTTCAGTACTGAGAATCGAAATGTCCTAACCTTATCTAATACCTACGATGCTTCGTACTAAATGTCTTAAAGACTAATCTAATCTCCAGACAGTAAGCGCACATCGTCGTCCCAGGCTGTTATCTTCCCACTGCTGGGCACAGCTCACGAACGTTTAAGAACTGTTAACCCACCACGCTGCTCTATATCAAATAAATTATTATATCAATATCGCCAGCATATTAATCGGGACCGACGGCATAGCGTGCTCCCCGGGAAATTTTCTTAAGTATTATTTCAAATATCGAATTAACAATTTCGCCGACCCGGGATTCGAACTAGGAATACGTAGTTAATTGATCTAATCACTAAACCGATAAGGGTATTTGTAGTTAGTACTTATAGTATTAGTACTTG